TATCTATCTATCTATCTATCTATCTATCTATCTATCTATCTATCTATCTACCTATCTATCTATTTATTTATTGCTTTTTTCCTCCCTAGAGACAAGGTTTCACTGTGTAGCCCTGGCTGTCCTGGAACTCACTCAATACATCAGGCTGGTCTCTAACTCCTAAGAGATCTGCTCCTTCTGTCTCTCAAGTACTGGGATCAAAGGCGTGCACCACCACTGTCTGGCATTGGCCAATTTTAATAGTAAATATATTGCTTAATATTAAAGTGAGTGACATGAAAAAACCCTATCCCTTAAACTAGGTACCAAAATTATTGAAATTACTGTTTAAAATTTTAGAAATTGAGTAGTTTAGATAAGTGATACTTAACTGTTGGTTTTAAGGTGGAAAAAAAAATCCAAATCAGTAATCAGTTCTGTAAGGAACTCAGAAACTTTGAAGCTGTATCACACATGGTACTTTAGTTAAATTAGGAGATAATTTTGCAATGGTACTTGAACATTCATATTGCTTTATGATTTATAAAATTAATTAATAGAATTTTGGAAATATCGTAATTGAATAGTCTTTTTAATCTTAACCCAGTGGTAGCCACAGGTCTCATTGTTGTTGTTTTGTCATCCTTTTAAAACACACTTACTAGCCACATACCTAAGTATTGAAAGAACACTGGGAGGGAAAGATGAGCAATGAGATCGCTGTGGTCAGAGAGTTCAGGGTCAGCTACCAGGGTAAAGTGACAGAGACAGAGAAGCCCGCCCACGTGCTTCAAAGACCACTAGAAGTGGTATCACGAGGTTTTATATTTTCCCGATGAGATTTTATCAATGAAGGATGAGCAAAGTTTGCAAGATGTAAAGCTGGTATTATTAACTAACACTAGTGAGCACTGAAATGCATTGATCCCACATTATGAACTTTTGACACCCTGAAAAATCCTTGCTGTCATCGCCCCAACTTACAAGTAAAGAAACAGGGATCTATGCAGACAGAAATCTTGAGAAGATTACGTGATTTGCAAATGATAAAGTCTGAAGGTAAATCAAGCATGGGCTCTAGAGGTCACATAAGAGAGTGAATCTTTTTTGTTCTTTTCATTTAGAATCAAGTAAAATTATGCTTGTAAACAGAAATAACTGACCACATCACCGTAGAGTTGCCACCCTTGACCTCAATTAAAAGCTTGGCCATTTATAGAGAGAGTGAGAAAAAAAAAATACCTGTTTCTAAAATGCTACGCATACTTCATCATTTACACTTGGCTTTCAGATGCTTTTATATTTTACGCAAATTTGCAAGAAATTCAAATACCTCTTTGTATGAAGACATAATTCTTTCAATAGCATCAGCTCCAGAGGCCAATAAATTTCGGGCAGTGGTGAAGGCTTCTGTCCGATCACTAACCATTGCCTGCTTTGGGCCGTCCTCCAGATCTAAGAGAAAAATCACAGAAACGCTAAGGTTTTTCCCAAGTAATTGTCTTACTTTATATCAATTATTATGGCTAAAATAATAATATTTTATCACTACCAGCAATTTCCTAGAAATACATTTAATTATTATTATTAAGTATAATAAATACTATGTATTAGGTTTTATTAGAGGTTCCCTTTTGCATTATTTAATTAGAACAAGAAGTTAGTACAACTAAATCTATAGGCATTAGGTTATTTCCATTGAGCTTCCTTTAGACATTTCCTGTATCCAATTTTCTGCTACTATTACAACTGTAATGAGCTCTCCTGATATTCTCAATGAAAGTACTACCTTGAGGGCGCTGAGAAATGATTCAGGAAGTGCTATCTATGCAAGCACGGGGCCCTGAGTTTGAATTGCCTGTACCCACAATTTAAAATGAAAACTGGGCATGGTAGTCACTTTAGCCCTGGAGGAGCAGGAGGGTCTCTGGCGCTCATTGGTCAGCCAGCATAAATCAATGAGTTCTGGGTTTAAAAAAAAATAAAGAAGAAAGGGAAGTAGGGGTTTTGTTGAGATGGTTCAGTGGGTAAAGCCACTTGCTGCCAAGCCTAATACCTGAGTTTGATCCCCAGAACCTACATGGTAGGAGATAACCAACTCCCAGAAGTTGTCTTCTGACCTCCACATGCACGAGGTGGCATATATGTACTTGCATTCATGCATTAACACAGACACACACAGAGTAATACATGTATACATGTATAATATTTTTAAATAATACAAATTTCATTTTAAAAATTAAAGTTAGGATACATAAACATATAGGTGAAGAGTTATCTCAAGAGATACCTGACATTGACTTCTGATTTTCACACAATGCACCCATATGCACACATGCATGCATACACCCACATGCATACATGCACAGGTCCATGTAAACATGTACATACACCATATACCATTCCATTTCTACCAGCCTACTAAGTAGAATACAAAAAAATAATTATGGTAAGGTTCCTATAACAGGAATCTGAACTAGTCTGGCCCTCATAATTTTGATATTTTCCTCCTTTCTCAAGGATTTTTCATCCTAGAGTTAAGCTGAATCGCTAGCATGTCCTCCTCTGTTAGTCCGTTGGAATTTACACATTTGATTTCTCTTCTCACTGTGAGTCCTAACTGTGTCTTTACATTGTGATCCTCCAATGTCAACCACCTGAGTTCTAGGATAATAGTTGTGCAGTACATGCTTGGCTCTAGATATCTTGAAAATATATTTAAATACATAATGAGATATAGATAATTAATAGAAAAACCCTGTGGGGTTCTCAACCAGCTACTGAAATGGTGAATTCATCCACGAGCTAAAACCAAGAAAGGGTTAGGATTTCAACCATCTGGTTGGCCATCTCAACAAATCACTGGGTTTTTATGAATGTGGGTTAAAAGGGGTTTGACCTTTCACTGGCAACCTCTGTTGAGCAAGAGCAACAACAAAAACCCATTTGCGCAGATGGACGGGGTTGGTGTGGGATCCTAGCTCTGGTGCTGCTTTGGCAGATTAATGCCTTCTGGGGTTTCTTTATGCTTTTAGCAACAAAGTAAATATTTTCCCACAGTGTATAACTTTTAAACTACCATGTGTTTTGGCAGGTACCGTGGAAATGGAGCAAGTAATGATAAGCCTGCATGAACAGTCACCTGCCTGGCCTCTCTAACAAGGCCAGATTCCTTAATGTCAGAGATATAAATCCATGACCTAAATGTTCACCGATCTTATTTCTCAGGTCAGCACATCTGACTTTTTAGTGAGGAACAACATCCCCACTGACAAGTTTTCCTCTTACTCAGTAGGGATGCTGGGAACTGAACTCTAGATCTCTGTAAGAGCAGCAAGTGCTCTTAACCACTGAACCGTGTCTCAAGCCATTGTTTCATTCATTTCTTCACCTTCTTATGTCATAAAACATATAGTTTCACACAATTATTTTATCTGTAACATGAGAGACAACTAAGTGATTAGGCTCAATACATACATAAAGACACACACACACACACACACACACACACACACACACACACACACACAGAGTCTTTCTTTTCTACATAGCCCTAGTTGTCCTGGAACTTGATTTCTGGACCCAGGATGTTCTGGAGCTCACAGAAATAGACTTGCTTCTGATTCCAGACTGCTGGGATTAAAGGTTTGCACCACCATACTCATCCTTAAAATAAGATTTAAGACTATATTAGAAAATATGACTTTTTTATCTTGAAACTTGCAGGAAAATGGTTGTAGCTAGAAAACATCATTTTGAGTGAGGTGGTCCAGACCCAGAAAAACAATTACCACATGTACTCACTTATATGTGGTTTTTAAACATAAAGCAAAGAAAACCAGCCTACAAATCACAATCCCAGGGAGCCTAGACAACAATGAGGACCCTAAGAGAGACATACATGGATATAATCTATATAGGAAGTAGAAAAAGACAAGATCTCCTGAGTAAATTTGAAGCATGGGGACCTTGGGAGAGGGTTGAAGGGAAGAGGAGAGGCAGGAAGGGGAGCAGAGAAAAATGTAGAGCTCAATAAAAGACAATAAAAAAAGAAAATATGACATATAATTTCTAGATCTGAAACCTGAAGGTGATATTAGTATCTGTAAAAAAAATTTTCACTGAGTGAAATGATATTTTCACTTGTTAAGTCACCAGAGGTCAAATATGTTTAGCAGAGTGGGCACACAGTACACACGCAGCAACATTCAATTCTACAGACTTTGAAACATTCATTTCTCTTCTTTGAGGATCTTACATTGTCCACCTCTGCAGGATAGTCTTTGGAATGAGCTCTACGTGATACTTTGTTTCACTTACAATTCCAACATAAAATATCCCTTTCAGCTGGTACTGCCTGTGCAGATTTGTAGTATTTATTTTTAGACATCTCATTACCTCTTGGTAAGTAAGCTAGTTAGTTTCACGGCATACATGTTTACTTCTTACTAGTCTCAGTGGGGTTAATTTGTCACCATTAATAGATGCATTTTTTTCTATTCTATGAGGATTACACTAGGGTTTTCTAATAAGACCAAACACTGCTAACAACATTGTATGACAATCTTCTTGTTGGGACTATCTCTAATGTAGGTTAAAGAGGAAACTTTTTGATGAATGTTATTAGCTTAAGAGATGACTTTTCAGTTTATGTTTTAACCAATTTCTTAGCAAAGCCGATCTGAAGAGCACATGTTTGCAGTGTTTTTCTTCCCACTGTAAACACTCCTTGGGAAAAGTAGTTATTTGGGTTATGTCTTGAATATGATTACTAAGAATATCTTTTAAAATAGGAATTTAAAATCATTTCTTAGTAAAGTTAAACATATTAAAGAGATAAAAACCAATGTTCACAGCTCCTACTTGAAAGCTTATTTGTGGAGCACATTCATTATGTATTTAGTGCTGACCACAAAGAGGGACTGAAGAGTTACAGTTCACTGACATGAATATATTTTTGCTTAATAATGAGTCAAATTTGACAATTTTAAATACAAAGTTACAACACTCTGTAAATAATTTACAATTTGTAAACAATTTACAATACTTCAAGCGATGCAAATGCTATGGAAACAGTCATTACCCTGAGTTCTTTAGGGAATAAAAGTACGTGTTGATAATGGACAGATTTTCTCTGTTTTTGCTTTGAACTCCCATTTATGCTCTGTGCTTGACTGCATCCTTGAATGTGAATCTATGAAAGCTGAACTCTAACTGTAACCCCTTCATTTCTAACAGGAAAGATTCAAGCTTTCTTATATGAAGAACAGTGTAACACTGTCTTTCTTGCCATTATCTTTTTTAGTTACACCAAAAGAAGAAAAGTTGGTTTAAAAGAAAACTGTCGCAACAAAGAGGATAGAACTGGTACCTGCAGCTTGATATGCACTGCCCTCGCCCATCACCAAATCACGTCCTGGGAAAGTATCTGTATTACTACAAACATTACTACAAATAGAGAACCCATTCCATGGCAGTCACATGCACCCTGAAACAACATTCCTGGTTATATAATGTAGCCAATCAACTTTCAAATCACAAATCAGGGCAAATTCAATTATAGGAAATTCATATACTTAATCTAAAGGATGTTAGCAACAAAACATGAAGTGTGCTTATGTTATACTCTTTCTGAAGATATTAGTTCACTTTGTGGTTAAATATAAACTGAAAAGTCACTGGGCAATGTAATTAAAATTATTACAGAGAGACTTCCAGGGAAACTATGCTGGACCTATGACCTCCTTGGCAAGGTCCTTAAGGCCATCTGTTGCTTCTTCCATACTGATGGTCTCATTATTGAACACTGAAAACTGCCACTGTTTCTTAGCACAAGTAACTACAGATAATGGCTGTCTACACAGTAACACATGGAACATGCAATGGCATCGGAAAGAGAGATAATGTTAAACATATATTTAAAATTAAGTATGAATGTTATTACCACCATCTGCAAAGCCTGTTGCAGTGATAATAGGTATAGCCACCATAATTAGTCCACAGCTGCTCCACACATACTTCATCAAGAACTGTTCTATCATGATGTACCATAAACGCTTGGATAAAATAAGATTCATCTGATAAGCTAAAGCCTTGTAACTTTTCTGCAGTTGCTTCATTTCTACCTAAAAGGGGAAAAGATAAGAATTAATGTAGCATGGAAATAAATTCTGTAATTACTTAAAGATTCTCTTTAATGATGTAGGCTTATTGTTTTGCCTTATTTTGCATAGCCATTGTTGCTACAATTCTACAGTCAATAAATGTAACTAGATATTAGAACTAGTCATAATATAGTTTAGCTTGCACTTGTGTTATTTTAAAATCATGCTATCCAGTAAATATAATATTGTTTAAAATACACAGGAGTGGCATGAAGCATAGCTCAGTGTTAGAACATGTTCCTAATGCTGACACACATGAGGCCGTGGGTACAGTTCTCAAGAGTTCAGGGGGTGGGGGAGCCAAACAGACAAACAGAAACAGAGAGGCATACATAGAAATAGAGAGAGAGAGAGAGAAAGAAAGAGAGAAAATGGGGGAGACAGACAAACACAAAGAAGTGCACATACACACAGAGGCAGACAGACACAGAGAGGCGCGCGCGCACACACAGTAAGAGAGAAAGAGAGAGAGGCAGGCCGGCAGACAGAAGGTGAACAGAGACAGAGAGATTCATAGTTTGATTTTAAAATTTAAAATGTTAAAATTAATTAATATTCTATAAAGGTATGGGTAAGAATGTTAAATACATATTATTCTTGAGAACACTAAAAATATCTAAAACCAAACAAAACCTGTATAGACTACTCTTTAATTGACTCAGTTTCCCAGATTTTGTCTTTTAAGCATTTACATTGAGTTCAATGATCTGAATATAACAAATCAGCACAGCTAACACAACACACAAGGTCAATTTCAAGTGGGAATAGAGGTACTAAATTAGTTTTAAACTGTTCTTTGGGTTGGTTCTGTCATTGGGAAAAAAACAATGATAATTCTTGATGCTTTAAAAGATACACCATTCTGCCTGGTGAGTAAAATGTACCTTTAAGCACTTCATTATATATTGCCAAACCATCGATATTAAGAGTTCATGTGTTCCATCCCCCCATTTATATCATACTCAACACCCTGAAGTAACTATAATATGCCACAATTTTATGTACCTGGGGTAATTATTTTCCTGTTGAAGATTTGTAACATTTAAAAATAACACCCTACTGCTTCTACCCACTCCTGTCCCCTCTAATCTTAGTGTTCACTTCTCTACTAGACAAAATTTAATTATATCTGTCAAAAGCACATGTTCAGCATGAACTAAAAGTGAGGGACATGCGATTTCATTAGACACCCCTCTGCATTTCTTAAGTTTCAGGACACTTTCTCATTGATCAGCCTTGCAAACTGTCCAAACTGTTCTCTCTTTGAAAGCCATCTCCCCATCTTGCACAAAAGAACAACAAAGAATAGCACCCCCACACCTCCATCTCAATCCAAAGAGGTTTACTCTTTGTTCCCAAATATGCCTTTTCTTCATATGTACAGAGTCACTCACCAACTTAGTACTGAATTATAAGGAAATGCCTTTGAGGTCAGTTCGGCTGTATTTGAGTAACTGAGGCTATGCACACACTTTTAAAGAGTACTGAAAATTTATTCTCAAGAAACTTCATAAAAGTTTGGACTCTTTAATTCTCTAATAGACTTAAAAAGCTACTGCAATGTATTATATTTTAGAACAAGTTTAGTTAACAGAGGACTCTGTAATGTTCAGAAAGTGGGCCTGTCAATAGGATAACAGATGGTATCTAGCCCTGCCGTGGCTGCTTGGCCAGTCTCACGTTTCACCCGTTGCTTTAATGTCTGTCTTACCTTATGTCCTCTGTAGAAGGCAATTTCTTCCACGTTGGCTATGATTCTGGAGTGAACGTACCGCAGATAGCCTTTCCTATGAGCTTCTTCAGCCACTAGTGTGCCAAATTTAGGAGAGCAAGCTCTCAGCACTTTAGCAGTGGCGTAGACCACAAGTCCGGCTAACAGCGTGGGCCCTATTGGGCTCGCCCCTCTGGACGTAGCAGTCCGGATGAGAGTATAGGAAGTTAGGATCACATCTAAAATAGGCTTGGTAAGGTTGGAATACAAGTGAGCGACAGACTGTGAGAACATCATAATGTCTTCAGTAAGGGATTGGTCAGGGTTGGCCAGCCTCCCATCCATATTTATCACCTTATAATAAGTCTGGTTTGCAAAATAGGTTTCGTAGGCATGGTCTACTAAGCGAGTTCTGAAGGCCAAAGCCAGTTTGCATTCCAGGTACCTGATAGCGCTGTTGACAAAGGTGGCAGGAATGGCAATCATAAGCCACTTGATCAACTTGATGACGAAACTCCGAGGCTTCTTTTCCACGATGCTTTTCACGATTTTTCCATCCAGACCAGCCACATAGATAGAAAGAAATGTTCTTGAGATTAGAGCCACCGAATGGAGGCAGAGCCACCCCGTTTCAGTGGTCACAAGTTTTGGAAAGAGGATTTTCCGAAGTTCTAGGAGCTGTTTAAAAAAATCTGCATTCAGTCCCGGCGCAGGCTTTTTACAGCCGATCTCTGTGCAATGCAGTATTTCTCTGTTCTCTGCAGGCGGATAAGCTGCTGCTTCTTCCTTCCTGTGGCCAGACTGCTTTAAACGCTTGCCAATGATGGGATAGAGGGTTTTCAGAGCATATGCCGCAGCCACCAGGCAGGCAGCCCTCTTAGCAGCGCCGGATCTGGTCCATTTCACCCGATAGGCTGCTGCGTTTAGCATATGTATCATTTTCCCAGCTACACAAATGAGTTCCTTTAAAAAGAATTCGTTTTAAAGGCTCATGCTCCGCGGAAAGCCCAGCAAACGTTTCAGAAAACCCCACCGCCTCCCATGCTCTGCAGCCTGTCTCCTTTACTCTTATTTTGTTCTTCAGTGACGGATGCAGCAAAGCTCAAACTCCACCGCATCTACTGGGGGCGAGTCCCTCACGAGCCAGGGCTGGCCAGGCTCCTCCCCCGGGCTCCTCATTGGCCACGATGGCGGTGAGACCCTGGACTCCTTGCCTCTTCTCTTTGAACCTTAAAAATGAAGGGAGAGCCCAAACGAATTCTATCCTTAAACAGGGGTTCAGAGAGTTAAATGTCTATTTCTGGAGAGGTCGAACCAGGTCAGCTGCTGGAGAAGAAACCTTGCCTTTGAGCTACTGAGCATGCTCAGCGTCACTTAGAAACCCTCAGAAGTTTCAGAATATACATCCCGTCCCTAAGATTTCCTTCCACAAGGGGAGGGGCAGGCGGATAGGAAGATTTGCTGGAGCTTTAATGAACCGAGAGAAAAAGAACCAGAGAGAGGAGGGTGGAGTCACAAGAGGGTTAACGGAACGGGCCCAGGGAAGGGAGTCAGACAAGACAGCGATAAGCGCTAGAGCCCAAAACAAAGTAGCAAAGGCAGATACTCTTGAGAATGTTTTGTTCTGAAGCTGTGTCTCCATCCGCCCAGCCCCCACCCCGCCGCGTTCCCTTGTTTCCGTTTTCTCGGATATTCCCAGAACCTATTAGAGTGTGACTGAGAGTGTCCCTTGTAAATAAACTGTGCATTGCAGAAAAGAGTTACACTCAGAACCCCTTTCCCCCACTCTCCCCTTCATTAACTTGTCTTGATAATAAAAATCTTTTCGTTCCATAATTGTCATGTTTAGCAATGTTGACCCGACACATATATTTGTTTACAAAGCGACTTAAAAATTCCCTTGTGTTTTTATTTGAAGGTAAGGTAGCTCCTAAGAGGGAGGAGCCATAATATGAACAAAGGAATCAAGACCATGATGGGGATACCCACAGAAACAGCTGACCTGAGTTATTGGGAGCTCATTGACTGCCAACTGACAGCAGGGGAACCCGCATAGGACCACACTAGACCCTCTGAATGTGGGGGACAGTTGTGTGGGTTAGGCAGTCTGTGGAGCCTCTGGCAGTGGGACAAGGACCTTGAACTGGCTTTTTGGAGCCCATTCTCTTTTGAGAGATATCTTGCTCCATCTATAGGGGGAAAGTACCTTGTCCCTGCCTCAAAGAGATGTGCCAGACTTTGTTGACCATGGGATGTCTTACTTTCTCTGAGGAGTGGATAGGGGTGGGTAGGGGGAAGGTTGCTGGAGCGGGAGGAGAGGAGAGAGGGAGTGGGAACTGGGATTGGTATGTAAAATGAGAATAGATTATTTTAAAAAACAAAATAAAGAATTTAATCAGCTGGGAATTGAACTGGAATTAGATGATGGAAAAGGTGGATGTACTTCCACAAGAAATTTTTTTCCAAGTTTTTCTTTAGGCTTAGAGGCAAACTACTTGCTTCTTCCTATGAATATTTTTTGCTATTTGCTAAAAATCAAGTATGTTTAGAAATTATTCACAATCCTAGTGAAATAGTCAATAGTCAAGCAAAACTTTTTATATTTAAAAATGTGAAGGTTGCTTTTAATGGCAAAGAAAATGTGGTTTTGCATGACAGACTATTTTTCTACTCCTTTCCTCTGTCTTTCCAACAAATGACATGCACTTCTACTTATCATGAAGGTGTGCATTTAAGCCAGACTACAGAATGGCAAGTTGGAACTGCCAATTTAAACCTTTTACATGTTGTGTGGTGTGGGAGGTCCTTCTGTCTCTGTGTTGCTTTCATTGGCTAATGAATAAAGAACTGCTTTGAGCCTATGGCAGGGAAGAACAGAACTTGGCTGGAAAGCTAGGCTGTACGCTGGGAGAAAGAAGGGTGGAGTCAGGGAGACATCACGGAGCCACTATCAGAGTCAGACATGCCAAAACTTAGCCGGTAAGCCACTGTCATTTGGCAATACACAGATTAATGGAGATAGGTTAAATAAATATGTAAGAGTTAGCCAATAAGAAGCTAGAGCTAATGGGCCAAGCAGTGATTTAAATAATATGGTTTCTGTGTGATTATTTCGGGTCTAAGCTAGCCAGGTGACTGGGAAGAACAAGCGGCCTCCTCCAACAGTTGTATGATCCTTAAACTAAGAATCCTTTTAAGTAGAAGTCTGCAACCCTCAGTGATAGAATATGTGTCCCAGTGTTGAGTGATCTTCATTGTTCAGTTAGTCATGAACCAAAGAATTGCCCTCACTTTTATAAGATGTTCTTTAAACAGTATGTTTAACTTCTTTGATATACATATATTAATTCTAAGAATTGTTATACAAAGATCACTTGTTTGCATTCAACTCAACAGATTTACCAATATATGAGTGAGAAATAGACACACTCAGCTTTGGTATTTGGTCATATTAGCAGTGTACTCGGTCTTGCTATTAAGACCAGCTGGACTGCCAATAAATACAACTACAGCACATCTCCTGCACCTAAGGTTCAGAGAACATCCAGGTTGAGTTAGAACAAAACCCCGGAGGACCAGAACATCTGCTGTAAGAGTATGTTTCTTAGAAACAAGAGGGATGCTTTACTCAATATCCCTTAACTCTATATCTGCTTAAACAGGATTCAAGCAAATGCAACTCCAATAAACTTGCTAATGTGGACATGGGACACTACCCCAAGACAAAGAATGACAGGCAACTAAGGAGAGCTGAGAGAAGGAGAAAGAGTCTTCCCCAGGGATGAACTCCTTAACTGGCTAGCCAATACTAAGTGATCACCCGTGAAATCATAACTCATATACATAGAAGCAATACTAAATGGACACAGAAGGTTGTATTTATATATTTATGCAGTTGTGTGTGTGTGTGTGTTTAACAATAACAGTTAAAGAAAAAGAAGCTATGTATTTGAGAGGCAGTTGGGCGACATAGGAGGATGGAGCGAGGAAATAAAAGGAAGACTTTCTGGGCTGCTGTGAGGCTTTGTGGCAAATGCTTGAGATTTGCTCAAGGCTTTGAGATTGTTGAGTCACAACGCTGGGGGAGGCATTGATTTTCTAAGCCCAAATGTGAAAAGCCTTGAGTTGTAATGGTTATTGAAAAAACGTTTTATTTTATTGGTGCGTGGGAAATAAGACTGTTTTACACACATAAAACCAACTCATGTATGTCACACATCCTGGTAGCTAAACATAGATGGGTTAAGTGTAATTGGAGAGAGCAGGGGCCAGTATATACCTAACTGAGGGTAATGGCAGGATGTTCATTCAGGCTGGATGCCTAGGTTATATGACAGCTGGCAGTTGGAGGAAGTAGCTTTTACCACTGGCAAACGAGGAGCAGTCTTGTGAGTAAGCAGGACATCTAAGCTGAAAGAACACTAAAGATGTAAATACTATAGCACCCAGCTGCTGTAGGTAGGTCTGTGGTCTGAATAGGAATGGCCCCCACAAACTCATGCATTGGAATGCTTGGTCACAGGGGAGTGGTACTGCTAGGAGGTGTGGCCATGTTGGGGGAAGTGTGTCACTGGGGGTCAACTTTGAGGTTTCAAATGCTCATGCCAGACCCAGTCCCCCTCTCTCTTCCTGTTCTCTTGGATCTGGATGTAGAATTCTCAGTTATATCTCCAGCACCATGTCTGCCTATGTGCCAACATTCTTCCCACCACGATGATAATGGACTGAATCTCTGAAACCATAAGCCAATTTCAATTAAACGTTTTTCTTTATCAGAGTTGCTGTGGCCATGGTGTCTCCTCACAGCAATAGAAACCCTAAGAGAGCAGAACAGATAATGAATATTTTGGGGTATAATGGGCTAGCAGAGGCAACCTTTGAATTCCATAGGTAAGAAACTTGTGAGAATAATTAGGTAATCAAGATCGAAAAATGGCACAAAAATTGTGATACAAGGGAGGTTGAAGGTCAGTTATTAAAATTATGAAAATTGTCAGTGTGCGATTTGACTTGAGCATGAGCCATTTTAGCGCAGAGGTTGATAATTTAAATCTCACTATTATCCTCCACCCTGCACAGTCTCCAAATGGTGGAGGGTGGGACCTAAGATTTAAGACTAGGCTCAAGGTTTCAGATAGGGCAAAGGAAGGATTCTACACGAGAGGAAATAAGATAGAAAAATTCCACGAAACTTTCCAGTCAACAATGGACCATATTTATGTGATCCTGTGAAAAATTAAGAAATGAAAATTTTCCTGTTGCTTATTGCAATCATTGTAACCATAAATGTCCTAGCATAAAGGATTACTTGTGAAATTGAATCTATGATGTGGTAAAGTGACTTACCACTTTAGTGCAACATAAACACCATATACTGGCTTATTATGATACTGTTACTGGTTCATGTATCTACTATACTATTTTAATTGCTGTTTTGAAGGGTACCCCTGACTATTTAAAAGGACTAATTATAAAACAGTATGTTCTACTATGCCAGTGTCAGTTCCATATTCCTCATGTAATTGTATCCTTTAGTTAGTTGCTTCAAGGGAGCATACAAAATAATCTATTTGTTCTAACTAGTTTTGTGTGAGTTCTCTTTATGTTTGCCCTATGATAAAACCATCTAAAATGAATGTTCAAAATTTATTCCCATTGTTAAACAATGTATGGTTACATATTCTTTTTAAAGTAAAACATTAAGAATACTTGTAATGGTCTGTTTTCACTTTTTGCTCTTTTACTTTTGGGAGGACCCACCATCCAGGTTCCAAATAAATACACACACACAAGTAGTACTATTCTTACTTATAAATGTCAAGCCTTGGCTTGGCTTGTTTTTAGCTTAATTTAAATTACCACCCTTCCACCTTTTGCCCCTGGTCATACCCACTCTCCTCCCCTTCTTACTTCTGGATATCTTACTTTCATTTTTACTCCGTGGCTGACTGTGTGGTTGGTCCCTATTGTCTTTCTTTCCTCGTTCTTGCTCCTTAATCTTTTCTTTCCAGAGTTCTCTCTGCCCACCAGCCCCACATATCCTTTCTCCTGCCTGGCTATTTGTCATTCAGTTCTTTATTTGAGCAATCAGGTATTTTAGACAGGCAAAGTTACACAGCTTCACAGAGTTAAACAAATGCAACATAAAAGAATGTAATACATTTTTGTATCATTAAACAAACGTTCCACAGAATAAATGAATGTAACACATCTTAAATTAGCATTCCAAAACATTTGCTAGGAGGTTTCTTTTAATATTTTTGTATTCGTAATAAGTAATTAAAGCAATGAGATAGTTAATTTTAGTTTGAATTCCAGATTAGGAGAGAAAAAGGAAATGAGAAAAAAACCCCACTTTTTATTATAGTAAGCATTATTAAATTTCCACCGAAGCTTCTAAATTTTATGTAATTTCACATGGGAAATATTAACATTTTCTCAAGGGGGGAAATAATGTGAGAAAAATATTTGACATTAATTTTTAAAATTTATAAATGCAGAAGGCTGAAGAGATGGCTAGATGGATAGCTAAGCAGTTAGGACCATTTACTCCTCTTGTAGAGGACTCAGTTTTCCAGCACTGACATGGTGACTCACAACTATCTGTAACTCTAGTTCCAGGGGACCCCATGCTTTCTTATGGTCCTTTAGGATAGTTAGGCATGAAAGAGGCAAACACACATATGTACAGGCAAGACACCCATTCCCACAAATAAAACAAAAAAATACAATTTTTTCCTAAATGCAGTAATTAAATAGCTTTGCTTTAAAAAGTATGATATTCTCGTGGATCACCAATATCAAGAGCAGAAATATATTATGTATATATATATATAATTTTTCATAAAGTATGAAACATCTTTCTAATGAAGAGAACTACATATAGAGAGAAATATTTGATGCAGTGTATTTATTCTCCTATGATAAATCAGAAGTCTATCTTTAGAGATAAAAGATAAATTATTAAAGTTTTAAGAAGTTTGAGTGATTCTTTTTTTCTCAAAAATAATAAATCATATTTTATTTGTACAACATTGTTTTCTTGAATTGACTTCAAACTCAAATGATTACCTAATTGATATGTTGACCCTTAGATATTGGTATTAAAACTTTATGTATCAGTTATGCCAGCCTTACTTATTAAAGGCATAGACAACATCGACGGTAACATCTTAGGTCAATATTTCAACTGTACCCATGTTCCTATGGAGATACCATTTTCTGTGAAGGCAAACCTGGCAATGTCTTGTCTAAGCCTGTGTCTCAGTGTTAATCTGTAGCCCGGTTCACACTCCCATTGCAGCCCTGTGACTAGAAACAAAAGAACTCCATTCATGAAGAAGAAATAATTTATCTAGGTTTTCAGTCCTTCACTTTTCTCAACAAAAAAGCAAACTTTTTGTGGACCTTCAAGAAAAAGAAAAAGCAAGATAATGTATTAGCTAAAAAGTTTCCCCTTTTAGTTAGTCAATAGTTTTAAAACACAAGTAGGAAGATGAAGGTTCCCTAAAAATCAACAGGCATTCCATGATTTTTTGAAATGCTGAATTCAGCTTTTTGATTAAATTACATATAATATGTTGGTTTTATTATAAAATTAGGATTAATGTTATTAAAGAAGATATATTTATTTTAGGTACTATTTCTTAACAACTTCTATTTTGATACTTTTTCAGGATAAAAAGTCACGGCAATTTGAAAAAAATTAGTTTGTGCATTTATTCCGGCCAAGAAATTTCTCATTGAGGTAACTGTTTTGTGAAGACTATAACACCACACAGAAATGAACAGAAAAATCCAACTTTTGTTTTGGGATTTTGTTATTGTGTTTCCTCAGAAAGGAATTTAATGTCTTAGAACTTTGACAGCTAATCAAAGCTCATTAAGACTCTACGGGATTCACAAAATGCACACAACAATTAACTTCGTACAGCGTGAAGTTTCTTCTCAACAATGCTTTCTAAATATTAAGACCATACCGCAAATTCATGCCAAGAATGTGGGAATGCTGTGACAAGTTGAAATGGCAATGTCAGCTACGCATACAGATAGACGGCCTCCTTTCAAAGACACCGCGTGAGCTGATGGCCCAGCACAGAAACGGAAGGAAAGCCGGGTGGCCATGGGCGCCTAGCCGGAAGTGCATGGAGCGGGACCTGGTGCCACACCGGAAGGAAGGCGCTCTCACGCAGAGGCTGTCGGGAGAAGTCCAGGCCGCTATCTGGCTGTGTGGCTCTGCTTGCAAGCTGTGAGGGACCAGCACTGGAAGCTCTAGAGAGATGAACTGGGTCGGGGGCTCACGGTAAGTGTGCGCTCTGGTTAAGACCCAGTCCTGCGGTCCTTGCTTATCGCCGTCTTCCAGGCCGCAGCGCAAGGTCACAGGCTTCCCAGGTGGATGTAAGGGTGGAGGCCTCAGCACTGTCCAGGATCCTAAACTACGGTTTCCCACTCTCCACGGGGTTCTCTGAGGGGCTGCGATGGGCAGGGCGAGGTTCCTGCTATATTTCCTCCACTCCAGAAACCCCCCTCTAGTGAGGACCCCTGGGAATGAATTTCAAAATAATTCTATATCCAGTTGTGCTTATATACGGCAAGACAGCAGATTACCAAATTTCCAAATTATAACTTAAAGAACATTTATTATTATTAGTTTTGTTTGTCTTACTATTAAGCCTAGACTGGCCTAGAACTCAATAATCCTACTGCTTCAGCTTCTAAAGAGCTGGACTCACAGTCATGTGTCACCATACCCAGCTCATAGCTTGTTTTATTTATTCATTTAATTTGCCCGAATCTGTTTTTTTTTTTCAAAGATTTATTTATTATGTATACAGTGTTCCATCTGAATGTATGCCTGCAGGTCAGAAGAGGGCGCCAGATCTCATTACAGATGATTGTAAGCCACCATGTGGTTGCTGGAAATTGAATGCAGGACCTCTGGAACAGCATCCGGTGCTTTTAACTGTTGAACCATCTCTCCAGCCCCCATAGCTTGCTTTTTAAAAAACAGACACAGTGAAAACTTACTTTGAATAAAGAGGATTTATAATTTGTTCTTATATTCAGGATTAATACCATAAAATATTCATTATAAATTTACTTTTACATATTTTTGTTAATTGTTTGATAGATGTGTCTATATGGTATATATTTTATATATGCATGTATATTATGCATATATATCTATATATCTCACAAATAGATCCCAGGATAGTAGGGTATTAATATAATATTGACACTTTTATAGGGGAAAGATGACTAGTATTTTAACAGGAGCACCTCTGTTAAGTATGTTGGCATTGTATTTTAGAAGTGTATGAGTTTTAAAGTGGATTGAGGACCCATGCCTGTAAATTCCTTGTAACATGATCACGGTGAGAGGATATCCACCAGTTTCAGGCCAAAAAATATCATCTCAAAAAGCAAAACAGGGCCTTTGAGATGGCTCAGCATGCAAAGATGTTTCTCATCCAAGCCTTTGGACCTGAGTTTAATTTCTGGAACCAACATGGTAGAAGGAGAGAAATGAGTAAGGAAAATTGTCATGTGAACTTCACACATAGGATGTGTGTTGTGTGACAAAGCTTTTCCTGGGGAAACACAACACACAGGCCTACTTACCCCAGATGGGGAGTTCATGACAGACCAAAGTACATATAGCACAAAAGTTCAGCTTGGTAAACCAATGAATTTTATTGAAGTTTCTTTCAAGAATATCAGTGAAGGGTTACTTACAGTAGCAGAACTGGGTCAAAGACAGCTGAATCACCAAAGCCCACCCCAGCTTGGGTGACAGTTCCCAAAAGCTGGGAACTTAGAGCATGCTGCACAGCCTGGAGGCAGCACAACAGGTTGGAGAGCGTCCTTTCCAAGTGTCCCAGTCTAATTCTCTTCCAGTCAGCTTGTCTGGTCTGAGTTCTTTTCACCTCTTCTTAAATACTGGGTGGGGTGGGACTAGTGAATATGGTCATTTTTAGGGACCTCCTGTAGCTCTTTCAAGTTGTTTATCTTCCCGTTTGAGGAGGTTCTCTGCTGCATAGTATGTTTCAATCTTGAATAGATAGTATGTTTCAATCTTGGATGGATAGTATGTTTCAATCTTGAATAGATAGTATGTTTCAATCTTGAATAGATAGTATGTTTCAATCTTGAATAGATAGTATGTTTCAATCTTGGCAGAAACTGCTACACCACAGTGTGGCATATACATGCTTACACAATACACACAAATAAGAAAACAAAAAACCAAATGTAAAACAAAACAAATCTACCTGGTTTATTTTGGCTAGTATTCTACTAGCCTACCTTCACTTTAGAGAAAAGTAGAAATTCACTTACAGGCTTCAATAGGATATAGCTGATACATGACTATAATTAATATATTCAAATTTAGCTTTCTTTAAAGTGAATATTAATGGCCTTTAACTCCAGCTCCAGGTAATAAAATACTTTCTTTTATATTTCACAGACACCTGCACTCATACAAATAATTTAAAATTATATATGTATAATATGACATGTATATAATAAATATTATATATGACAAGTTTAAAACCTCAGTACTATTAAAGTTCAGCTATTACTGTCGTATTATTAACTTATCCGCTGTTTTGAGATTAATGTTTTAGTTGCTGCTGGAAGGGTGCGAAAACCGTGTCCTGAAGGAAACTCAGGTTAAGGTTGTTTTCTCAACATTAAGTAGTGCTACACCTGTGGTGCTAACTACCCCGGGGCTAAACCACAGAATAAATAAACATGGGTACAACTTCTTAGCACTTTGGTTTTGATTAGAGATAAAAAGGGGAAATCCTTCCTTTAAATGTAAACCAACATTGATACATTGTAGAGGAAATGTAAAACAGATGAAAAACTAAGATCCATGAGGGCGGCAGATGGCTCAGTGAGCAAAGGCGCTCGCTGTCAAGCCTAGACCAGAGCTTGTTCATTGCACTCCATACAGAAGGAGAGAACTGACTGCTGATGTTGTCCTTTAACCACTAATTGCATATGTGTTCACGTGTGCATACAAACACACACAAACACAAATAAGTTAATTTTTAAAAAGAATTAGCATACAATTTTAAATGCATTTTTCTTGGAAAGATGGGGCTCTATAGGGTGAAGCCCTATACTAATTATAAACAAATGAGTATCTCCTGTGTTAACTGTGAGCAGGTAAAGGCAGATCAGGCCAGCTGGTTTTGCTTCTCTGAACATCCTAAAGGCCTCAGCCTGAGAGTTCTTTGGATAAGCAATGGAAGCCAACTAAAGATGAATGAAGTAAACCAGATCCAAAAAGACAAATGTCACATGTTCTTTTTCATCCATGGTTCCTAGCTCTAAACTTCAGATGTGGGTGTAACCTGGAGTAATTGCAGAAGCCAGGAAAGTAAGAAGGGACTGAGAGGTTAGGGGAGCAATAGAGAGGGAAATAGCAGGATATAGGTAATTTGAAGAGAGAATGGGAAAAATAAAGGGATTTTAATTAGGGCGGGGAAGAGAAAAAGAAGGAGAGAGGAGAGTAAAATAGGAGTAAAGATGTCTGAAAGGAATCATTATTGACCTAATATTTCATATAATACACATAAGTCTGTGTATAATATACATATACTGTTTAAATGAAAAATGTTCATTTAAACTGGATATTTTTATATTCAGAGTCCGACAGTGCTCTCCCTGAGGGCTATAGGCCATTTAGAAAAAGCCCAGCACCAGGACTGAGAAGCCCCTACTTTGAGTTGTTCTGGGGCTCCCCAAACATTATAGGCTATTGCTGTTGTTTTTGGTTGCCTCTCAGAGGTGGAAGGTAAGTCCCCATTTCTGAAGACATGATATGCTTTGGACACTGGGCCAGAAGGACCCAAACTGGATCTGTCCTGAAAGCCTCTTCCTTGAGGTGTAGCTTTCAAGATACCAGAAGGTGCTGTGCAAGCTTCCAAAGGAGAGAGGCACCTTTTAACTTTTGTGGAGATTTTAGATGAAGCTTGGACAAAACTCCATGTTAAAGCAAATCTAGATGTTGTTACTATCTCAGCTGTGAGAGTAGTAACGCTGATCACACACACTTTTGGTTTTTGAAGTCAGGCCTAAATTCTATGAAGAGCAGAACAATATCTTAAGATAACTCCATAGATTTTTTTTTTAGAAAAGGATTGCACTTTGGCCTCAGAGATTTTAATAACCTTTTTATCATCATTCATATCCTATCCAAGTCTCGACTTCTACCTCATATAACCTACTCAGAACTTTTGTGACCTTCCAAACTTTGTCTTTATCCTTCTCATTCTAGAACTATACAACCATCTTAACTTTAGACCAAAGTCTTACCATGTACAAATCTTCATTTACTAAAAAATCCCATCCTTCTGTTATTTACTCCCTTTCTGGTACCTTTTACTTTATTGTCTTTCTTAATACCACAGGACATAGTGACATTAAAAAATTTACTAACTTTCTTGGAGACTCACTATTGACTCTAGTGACATTAAGCTGAACTCAGAACTTTTGTTCTTGTTGTACAAATTTGTTCATATGGATCTTACCCCCTGCTGTGTTGTGCATTGCAATCTGGTATTGACAAGAGACAGAAAAGTTCTTTTCCCACCTCCTAATGCTGTCAGAGAGAGAAGATTTTATATTGAAGAGTCACCATCTGATACCTTAAATTTTATAAGTTCATGAGTATATGGTAGTAAGCTCCCATGGTCATGGAGGAGCATTCTGGCAGACAAACCTGCCTTCACAAGTATCTTAATTTAAAATGCTCCCTTGCTAGGCTTAAGGGTGGCCAGCAATTTACAACTCTGTACCCACAACCAGCCTGTACCTGTAAGTGGAAGCAGGCAACCTGAAAATTTGCTGTATCTTGTGTGATATTTTGTCTGTGTTCTGACAAATAAAGCTTGCCTGGAGATCTGAGGGCAGAGCTAGCCACTACTTAACCACAGAGCTGGTGGATTATGCCTTTAATCCTAGCATTCAGGAAGTGGAGAAAGGAAGTGGTAAGGTGGGGCAGAGATGGGATCTAGGCCTTTTCAGACTGAGGAATGAGAGAGGAAGGAAGGAACTGGCCATTGCTCCTGCTTCTTTGTTCTTCTAGGCTTTTACCCCAATGTCTGACACCTGACTTTTATTGATAAGACTAACTGTTATTCATGCTTCAATAGCACCTACAAAAAGACAATACCATGAATGATATTTCCCTTTAGAGGCCACTTTTTTTTTCTATCAATCAGTTTAAATTCAGGAAAAGCTCAAGAGTGCGGAAGAATATAAGGAGATTATTTCAAGGTCTCTGGGTCA